TGACTTTCTACAAATTTCTTTACCGACCAGTTGCCATCTAAATCAACGAAGTATCTGATCATTGCTGGACAACCCGTTCTTGTGTCCGCTCTTTTGAACCTCACAGTGATAGTGTCCTTCAACTCTTTCTTGAAACCAGCCTTACCACAAACAAAGTCCTTTGTCTTCAGCTTCTTGGAATTGGGCCAGAAACCACTGTGTTCCTTTCGCACAGTAAATCCAATATGGTGTGCATATAAACAATATTGTTCATATGCTTCATTCTCGTTGTGGACAACTGCATTAAGTAATTTCTCTGTATCGGGTGACTGCAGATTTAAACATCATAGATACAAATTTACAATACATAAATAACAAGATAATAATATCATATTAATACCATAATAATACTATTAAATGACGTTAAGCTATGTTACTGGCCTCCTAAAATAAAATCAATTCAGCAGATCCAACATTACCTTAATAACACTGCGATACTACCACAATAACACCAAATCTCGCGTCCGTAACGTTACGTTGTGATACTGTCACATGAATAACACTGTGATACCACAAAAATAACACCAAATCTCCACGACAGTAACGATGCATTATTATACTACCAAAATAACAATGTGATACTACCAAAATAACATCAATCCACAACTTATATTATACCGAACAACCAAAAATGGAAAACAACTACAAAAACAACCAGTGTATCACCGTGACAATACCTAAGTAACACTAAATCCACATGAAAGAAACGTTACATTGTAATACTACCAAAATAACACTGTGGTACGACCAAAATAACACCAAATCCTCAAGACATTGACTTTACATTATAATACCACCAAAATAACACTGTGATACTACCAAAATAACACCAAATCCTTGAGACATTCACTTTACATTATGATACCACCAAAATAACACTGTGATACTACCAAAACAATTTCAAATCTTCAACATTCACTTTACATTATGAATCATGATACTACCAAAAAAACATTGAACCCCAACTAATATTCTAATGAACAATAAGAAATGGAGAGCAAATACAATAATAACCACTGTATCACCATTATATTTCCTAAATAACACCACATCCCACCAAACCAAAACTTAGCGTTAAAACTCATCTAAAAATAGAGCAAACTTTATTAGCAATAAAATTACTCCTTAAAACCTAGAACTGCATTCAAACATCCTTCATTAAAAAAATCTACCTGCTGATGCCCTTCTGCCGCATCTAAACTCTGTTCAACCTCATTATTCTCGGAAATATTCTGAGATTTTATCTCATTGTTACAATTCTCAGGAGTATTTTGAGATTCCACCAACATTTATTCGTAAAAAATTATTTCCATCGAACCAGCTCCAGCGAACATGAGGGATAAAATGAGAATATACCGAATCTCAATACCCTAAAGCAGACAAAATGCCACTTTCTTCTATTGACGGGAATCGAAAATTACAAAAAAATGCTTTTTTTTTGGGCGGGATACGTCGGGTCGGGCATAAAAAAAAAGCTTATTTTTAAGTTGTAAAGCCACGAGGAATGCGATTCCACGTGGCGAATTTTTATTCGGTACCGCATGCAGGAGTTCATGCGGTGCACGTACCGAATAAAAATTCGATTTTGACAGGTTTCGGAGATCCAGAAGCTTAAATATTGTGTCTACGAAGAAGAGAGGGCTCCCTGTGCTTTATTCACTATACTTGGTCACTGTGAAAAACCAGATTGAGGCTCTTGAGTGGCAGTGTATAAGTGTTATTTTTAGAGTGTAGAAGTGTTCTTCTATATTGTGTGTGTGAGAGAGAGAGAGAGAGTAAACCAAAGTGAAAATTATTGTACAAGGGTGGATTGGAGCAGAACAAATTAAGAATTCTCTCGAGTTAGATTTTTTTTGTGTAAAAAACTTTAATTTACTTTTCATTGAAATTTGTCTTATTATCTCTTAAAATGCTAAAGAATTAATATTTCTAAACTTCTTTGATTTGGATGTGTGATTGATCATATTCTATGCATGAGTTTTCTTTAAGATTATCTAGAATTTAATTACATGATGATGTTTTATCTTTTTAATCTTCAATTACTTTTAATCGGGTCAATTGAAATTTTAAAACCTCTTGTGTTCTAGAAATTTTGACGCAGGCTAGAAGGACGACTAGGACAACACTCCATCTCTTAGCGAAATTTGAATATTGCCAAAAGAAAATTGTAACCACATAAGGGACTAGAGGATTTTTGGGAGACTTTGCGGGATTAAGCAAAATTTAACCATAATGAGTCTCCAGTGTTTCTTATATCTAAGAATAGAGTGACGTATTTGTCCTTGATATCAACAATTGGTTTGGAAGTTCCTTGGATGAATATCAAGGATTCACACGATCTAATTCAAGAAAACATAATTCTCACATTAGAAAACATATATTTTAGATTTAATTTTTTACAAAATTAGAATTTAGAAACCATTAAATTTCACAAACTTCTTTCAAATTGAACCTAGGATGAGTATTCTAGAAATTTCACCTTCTAGAAAATTAACTCTTCTTTGTGAGATGAATACAGAAACTTTTTAAATTTATATAATACTTGATCTGACACATTTATTTGCTTGGTTTATGCATACTTCACCACATCACGGATCACATATGTAAATATATAGGAATTGAGCGGTACTTAAGTAAATCTTTCTAATATCAAATCCATAAATTGGGTGCTGCAAATGATTTTTTGTTAAATTAAAACATCATGGCTTGGGCCTTATAGGAAGCATTAACTTACATACCACTCAATTCCTACGTATTTACATATCTATCACCCAAACTTTACCTTTTACATTTATATCACATAAATCTTTCATGTCACATCAAAAATATCACTATTATAACTTTTAAAGAGTAAAATACATCTGTTTATGCATAAGGAACATATATGTAAAAATTGAAGTTTAGATATTATACAAGTAAATATATAAGAGTTGATTGACACTTATGTAAATTTTCCTAATATCAAATCCACAAGAAATTGGGCATTGCAAATAAATTTTTGCTAAACAAAAGATCATGCATTGGGCCTTATAGAAATTGAGTCAAGCGTCTGCAAATTTAGCATTGAAGATAACTTTTTGCTTATGAAAAACATTATTACGAGAATGCCTATTAAAACAAGTTCTTCATACAAGCTGAAGTGTAAAAGTTATTTAAAGCCATTGAAACAGGCATAGAACATACCTTCTTTCCAGCATCTAAATCAGCAACATCGGCACCAACAGATAAAATCTAAAAAGAAAAAAAGAAAGAAAGAGTGCTACTCATTAAACCTTATTCTTTATTAAAGCGCCAAAACAATAACTTATTATTATAATCCTCACCTCTCCCGTCAGATATCTTTCAAATTTAACTGCTGATTTCGGTAAGAGCACTCCGCCAGCAGATTTCTGTGATACAAGAGTTTTTGAGTTTTTCAGTAAGAAACATTTACATGCATACCACCCAATTCTTATGTACTTAAATATCTAGCACCTAGACTTTGCTTTTTTACATTTATGCCACCAAAATCTTTCATATAACATCAAAAATAATAACAAAGATGACTGATTTACTTATTTTGGCTTCCTAATTATGGATTAATTACTGTACTTAGACTGTAATAATCTAGACTTATGCCCGCTATCTATTTATACTCCTTTGTTAATTGTACTTGGGTATATGAATAGATTGTAAACCTATTTTTCTCTTTCCCGTAACTGGGCTCTCCTCTCCTATAGGGCTGTAAACGAGCCGAGCTTGAGAGAGCTCAAGCTTGGCTCGTGTTCGGCTCGTTCGAAATAGCTTGTGTTCGAAATCGGCTTGTGTTCGAAATCGGCTCGTGAACAATGTATTCATGTTCGGCTCGAAAATGACTCGTTAAACTAAAATTGATAAAAATAGATGTAAAGTGTGGGATTCAAACCTGGATCAAATCTATACAAAAGAAGACACTAACCACAGTGCCACATGAGGTGTTATGATTTAAATTTAGACATAAATATATATAATATATTATTATATAAATAATATATGTAATATATTGTTATATAAAAAGCTGTATAATTTTTTTTTTCGAGCCGAACACAAGCGAACAAACTGTTGTTCGTGTTCGGCTCGTTTACATTTCGAGCTTCAAACTTTGTTAGTGTCGTTAGTCTTAACGAACAAGCCGAACACGAGTTGTTTAACGAGCCGAACACGAGCTGTTCACGAACAACGAGCTGTTCACGAACAACGAGCCAAATTGACAGCCCTACTCTCCTATTCTACTTTCTTATAAGAAGATATCAGACCGGGTAATCTAAAGGTTCTTCAAGATCCATTCATCTTCTCTGTCTTCCTTTGATTTTTCCTTCTGTTCTACTTCTTTCATCTTCCAAGTGCTCGTTCTCATCCTGATCTTCGACACCTATATCGTCCTTAGCGCTACGGTCTGAAAGAAAATATTTTGCTCCAGCCACCCTGCACCAGTGTGCTCACTTTGTTGGGCCCTATGATGATCCCATCAGGCGTTGCTTCACTATCTCTCTAATACAGTTTTCTCCTCTTCGCATCTTGTCCTTCTAGCTGAAAGAGAGAAGGTTTCTCCATCATGGAAGAGTCCGATACCTCCAATATCTTGAATGGACTGGCAAATCTTGGAATTTCTGAACACCCCATTAGTCCCTCCCTGAAATTCCTCATTGCTAATGTGAAATCTATGGTAACTAATGCCCTTTCTGCGATAATTATCAAGTATGGAGGTCCCAAATCATCAAGATCACAAAAGCAAACCGATTCTTGAACTTTTTTTAGGGTACCATTTCATCCCCTGCTCCCAAGATCCTTGACGCCTCGGGTATATCCACTATAAATCCTCTCTACACCGCTTCGCAGCTTGATCAGATTTGACTGCAGCCCTCTACTCTACAATTTCAGCCACAATATTGCCTTATGTCCTGAATCCTGAGAAAAGCTATGCCATCTGGACTACCTTCGAAAAGTGTCTACAAGCCACCAATCTATCTCGTGCTATTCAGTTGACGAACGAGCTACAAAACGTTTTGATGCACGGCCTCACTATATCACAATATACAGATTAAAACAATTGTTGATAACATATTTGTTGTCGGTTCTCAAGTTGATATTGAAGATGTAATTCTCTATTTCTTGAAAGGTTTACCGGCCTCTTGTATTTCCTTCAAGGCTGCCATACAAACAAGATCCACTCCCATAAGTCTTGACGAGCTATATGCCCTTCTACTCAGTGAAGAAATTAAAATCTCCAATGAGCATAAATCTGTCTCTCTGCAGCCCGATCCTCAAATAGATTTATACTCTTCCAAAGGGAGGGGTAAAATCAATAGGGGCAAAGGCAAAAGCCCAATCCCAACTATCGAAGAGCACCTGACTACTCCCCTCACCCGCCCAAAACTCATGGGTCGGCTCCATGTCTAATATGCAATAAACTTGGTCATCTTGCCTCTACTTCTTGGCATCGATTCAACATCAACTATCAACCCAAGATCTCCTCCTTAGCTTCTTACACACCATCCCAAGCCACTTATATTACTTCATCCACAACCTCACCTCAAACCGATAGGTACCTCGCGCTAGAACCACTTTGCACCCCACACCATACTACAATCAGACTCACCAACTGGAACCTTATAAAGGGAAAGTGACATTTATGGTTGGTAATGATAATATTGTCCCAACCAAACATTCATGCACGTGCATTTTACCAACACCCAATCGTAAGCTCCTTCTTCCCAAGCTTCTTCACACTCCCAATATTTCTCATAATTTGATCTCCATTTCTTAGTTAGCATTGATAATAATTACATGATCCATTTTTTATGCAAATGGCTATCGAATCAAGGATTGCATGACTCCGCAGCTTCCGCTTCAAGGTCCCTGCAGTCATGGTCTCTACCACCTTCCCAGTAACTCCCATATTCTCGCCTCGGTGGCCGCTTCCTCCCACCAGTAGCATCAACGGCTTGGACATACGCACCACCAAGTTCGGCTAATTGCTACATAGCAACCACATCTCTGAATTTCTCCAAATTTTTCTTTCGTAATTCTTGTGCTACTTGTAAATGTCATCGCAATTCGTTTACTAATTCTCGCAACACACAATCTACAATCTTAGCTTTAATTCACATCGATGTTTGGAAACATTCTCCCATTCCTTCCGCCCAAGGCTACAAATATTATGTGCTCTTCAATGATGATTTTTCTCGGTATATTTAGATTTATCCTATGTTTAACAAATATGAGGTATTTAATCATTTTATAAAATTCAAATAAGAAGTTAAACTCTAGTTTAATCAAAGGATAGAGGTTGTGAGGACAGATAATAGCGGAGAATACGCTAGCCATCCACTTACTAATTTCATCACAAATATGGGATTATTCGTCAACTAAGTTGTCCCTACACTCCACAGCAAAACAACGTCGTTGAACGCAAGCATCACCACATCTTGGAAACAACCAGGGCCTTAATGGTCGACTCCAATGCACCTTCTTCACTTTGGCTCGAGACGATGCACACCGCCATCTATTTGATCAATCGCTTACCATCCAAAGCCACCAAAAATTACTCACCTTACAAGCTACTCTATGGCATAGCACCCCACTATGGTCATCTCAAATCATTTGGTTGTCAATGCTTCCCCTTGCTACCTCCATCCATCATCACAAACTGCAACAAAGATCTCTGCCACATGCATTTCTCGGTCGTCCCTCCCACATCAAAGGATATAAATGCTTCAACCCTTCTACTAGCAAAATGATCATCAGTTGACATGTAACTTTCAATGAATCGGTTTATCCTTACAAGACTCGGCAGGATACCTTCAAACCTTTTCTTACACCTCAAATCAGTTCCCTACTTACTCTAATTCCAACATCCACGCTTCAACCAACCAACTGTCATACGTCCTCTGATTACACTTTGCATTCCAAATACCTCTCTTCCCAGATTGAAACTACTAGTATTCAATCCGTTATCAAACCTCCTTCTCCAAAACATCAAAGGGTTACTCATTCTCAAACGGGGTCTCTACCCAAAAAGATTATTGTTGACCTTTTACATGATAAATCTCCTTTGCAAGAGCCGCACACCTGCAGCCAAGCCGTCAAATATTATCATTGGCAACAAGCAATGTATGATGAATTTCATGCTTTGCAAAAACAAAATACTTGGAAGCTAGTTCCTCCTCCAGTTGATCAACCCATTCTTGAAAGTAAATGGACACAAAATTAAACACAATTTTGAATGTTTGGTTGCTCGTTACAAAGCTCGTCAAGTTGCTTTAGGCTATCAACAAGAGTATGGTCTCAATTACACTGAAACTTTTAGCCCCATCACTAAAATCCCTAAGATAAACCTTTTGCTTATCATTACTCTTCATTACAATTGAAAAGTATTTCAAATGGACATATATCTAATGTCTTCTTACATAGTCGACTCGATGAAATCGTTTACATGCATCAACCACCATGTTACAAAAATTCTACAAACCCCTCTTATGTATGCCTCTTATAGAAATCTCTCTACGACCTCAAATAGGCTCCAAGACAGTGGAATCATACCTTCATAGCTCATCTCTAAAAATTGGGGGTTCACCATAAGTACCGTCGACCCGTCTCTCTACATTTATCAACATAACTCTCATATACTTTATCTTCTCCAGTATGTAGATGATATCGTCTTAACTGACAATGATATCGATAAGATCCAACACCTTCAACACGAGTTATAAACTCATTTTTCCATGAAATTTATAGATTTAGTCTCTATTTTTCTTGAGATTAGCATCACTCGCACTCGATACAGCTATTACCTCAATTAAACTAGCTATGTTCATGATATACTAAACAGTGCTGGAATGGCAATGTGCAAACTAGCTCTGAATCTTCAAACTGTTTCTAGCAAGGATTCTACTGACCCTGCCAATTCTTTTTCATAAACTTTCACTATATTGGCAACTCGTCATATTACTTTAGTACCTCATTGACTAGACCAGGCATTATGGTTGTTATCAACTCTCTCTCTCTCTCAACATCTTCAGACCTCGCTTCAGAATCACTACCAACACCTTAAGCGTCTTCTCTGGTACCTACATGGCACATCAATGCTTGGCTTGTCGTTCAAAGAAGGTCCCCTTACGCTTCACACTTATGTTGATGCAAGCTGGGCCAGTGAAGTGATCGATAGAAGATCCAACACCGGGTACTACACCTTCATTGGTCCCAATCCTCTCTCATGGAAAGTCAAAAAACAACCAACGGTTGCTAGATCCTCAACTGAAGTTGAATATTGTGTCATATCCTTAGCTGCGATAGAAGTTATATGACTACGACATCTACTACAAGAGTTTCAAGTCTCCATTCCCACAACTACAACCATCTACTGTGATAATATGTCCGCATAGCCAACGCTCAAAATCCAATTTTTCATGATAGAACTAAGCATATTGAAATCGACTATCATTTCATTCGGGACCACATCCAGTCCCGCGAGATTATACTACAATATTTGTCTTCGGGGGAACCGATAACAGACATATTTATCAAAGCTCTTCTTACTCCGAGATTCTACACCCTCCGAAACAAAATAATAATATCTCTTCCAAATATCATTATTTTTCTATGGGCTAACTACCCAAATTATTTATTAATTACTGCACTTAGACTGGACTAATCTACTCTTATGCTAGCTATATATTTATACTCCTTTGTAATTGTACTAGGGTATGTGAATAGATTGGAAACTATTCTTCTCTTTCCCGTAATTGCGCTATCCTCTTCTATTATGTTTCCTTACAAAAATACCACTATTTTAACTTTTAAAAAGCGAAATATACCTTTTCATGCATGGGTAAGTTAGCATATATGTAAAAACAAAATTTTAAGTGTTAGATATGTAAATAAATAAGAATTAAGTTGTAACTATGGAAATCTTTCGAGAAAAAATCATTAAATGAATTAATCCAGAGGTACAAAATTTCTGTTTATTTGGCAATCTCTTCTCTGAGGTCAAAGTTCACCTCAACCAAGCAAGAAATCAGTAAAAGAACAATGGTATTATGTAAATCAACACCCAACAGGAAGCATAAAGATGATTCCTCAATTTTGACAGTATTGCTCCTTTGTCTTCAACTATATAACATAAAAGGCATGTTTGGTTTCAAGGAACTAGAGGTAATGCAAGTAAATTTTATTTTATAGTTTTTTATTGGGTCTTTTGATTCAACTTAATCGATAGATAACTGAATTTACCTAAGTAATGTGAACAAAGGCTATTTTTCTAAGAAGATTTACATGCATACCACCCATTCCTATGTATTTACACATATAACACTAACTTTTTTCAATTTATACATAAATGCCACCTTACCTATCAATAAAAAGGTGCAATTCACTTTTTAAAAGTTAAAATAGTTGCATTTTAAATGTAATATGAAAGATTTGGGTGGCATAAATGAAAATTGTAAAGTCCAGGTGTTGGATATGTGAACAAATGGGAATTGGGTGCTATGTATGTAAATGCCCTCTTTTCTATTGGAAATTCCCCTCTCAATCCCACAGAAAAACTAGAAGAAAAGCTTGTTAGGTTATCAATGTTTTGAATTTGATTCAATTCCTTCACCAAATTTATTCCATCTTTTATTTTTATTGTTAATATATATCTTTTTTTATTTACATTTCCACTCTTTCAATTCTTTTCAACCAAGCCGACTCAAATGAACCAAAACATGCCACATTATCAGTGAAAACAGAGATTTTCTATACATTTGTGAAGTAAACCTACCCTCACCTAAAATCTTACCACAATCATCTGAAAAAATATTAGTCACAATTTTATGTTACAAAAGACAAGCAATAGCGTCTATGTTGCAGCTATGGCCTATGGATCTAAGCCTCATTCCAACAAAAAAAATCCAGAAGAGAGAAGTTGTCTTTACGTGAAAACCCAAACTAAATCTAACCAAACTTAGCTATCAACTAAGTTCAACCCAAAGCCCTGTAACCTAATCTAACCAATCCACTCATTCCCCATCAAAACATTTTGACAATTTCGGGTAAATGAACCTATAAAATGGTATCAAACATAAGAAACCTATTCCAGTCAAATAAAACCAAAAATACATAGATGCCAGAATGAAAATTTTAGATGGAATCAATCAGTGTTAGAGAAAGTCATAATACCTCCGGTAGCTCTTCTAGGCGAATTAGAACCAAGTCAGCTTGCGGAACCACCTGCGCTTAGATAATGAACGTATAAGTTGCTTACACAGAGCAGGCAAGAAAATGGGCTAGAGAAATAGAGAGAGAGAGAACCTTAGAAGGCTCCCATGTTTGCGTCATAGACGAAACCCTAAGTAAGCTCCGCCGCCTGACGTCTAGCTTCCAGCGAGACAGCGGAGAGGAACAAGGAGGGATTCGTGGAGAAGGAACCTGGGATGGAGGGAAGTGGAGGAAGGGCTTAGCAACTGTGAGCAGTGAAGACGCCATGGAGGATTCTTTACAGGGTAATTAGCTCGCAACGAAAGCTCCCAACTCACTCACACACACTCTGCTTTTCGGTTTTTATAGTGAAGACCGGCCGGTATTTTCTAGTGGTCTTTAAAATGTTTGTTGGTCAATTAATTTAGGGTCTATTTGAGGCAACTTCAGATTACCCTGTTAACTTGATAATTTGTAGATTGACTTGATAAGTTATTTTGTTATTTGAGAGAGCTTTTTCAGAACAACTTATTTACATACATTTTTGAATAAACGATCATTCTACATCTATTAAGTAATGTTATTTGTAACAGAACTATTTCGGTAAATTATTTGATAAAACAGAAATATCGAACTACTACAGATCAATTTAAAAAAATAAGATGTAGTTCTCACTTACGCATGAGTATCAAAAATAATAAAATAAAGAGAAAAATAATTACAAATATAATTAAAAAATAAGATGCAGTTCTCACTTACGCATGCGTATCAAAAATAATAAAATAAAGAGAAAAACAATTACAAATATAATTAAAATTTTTAAGATGTTGATTTTAAAATTCTGACAACGTATGTCCTAGGTTGCACTGTCACTTTGGGAAACCATCGTACCTCGATCACTGTCGACTGTGGAATATGTCGGAATATTAGCTCAACGGAAGAAATCACACCTTACTGAAACGTTCTTGAGACAACAGTAGAACTGTCTCCCGTAGCTGTGAGACTGATGTGACGTGAGAAATGAAGCTTGTAGTCCGGAGTATCACTACACAACTTGAGAGATCCCTAAAATCCTAGAGCTTATGTTATTACATTGAAAAAAACAAAAAAGGTATTTGCTGATCTGAAAATTAAATTAAGTTTTAGATATCTATAAGAGAATTGAATTAAACAAAAAATCATATCGAAAAAAAAAAAACATAAATAAAAAAATGCGAGCGTGCAGTTCCAGACAACTAACTACATTAACCCATGAGTTTGTCATTGTAAGGAGACAGCGAACATTGAAAAAAATGAGTTCTTGGTTGCCTTTAACCCACGAGAGATGAACGTCCTAGGATACATGTGCATATCACTAAAGAGGTCATTCAGTAGATCCTTATGTACCAATGCACTGAAAAGAAGAGAGGACCTAAGTTATATTCTTTAGGATTTCACATGGAATATCAACAAAATATGATCGTCCTGTGACAGATGTGCATATCACAAAAAAAAAAACATCCATGTAAATCCTCATAATCCGAAGCACAAAAAAGAAGAGAGGATATCAATTGCCTTAATTAGTATTTGACATGCATCAATAAAAACCAATAACAAACCAACCATATAAAAAAAAACTCATAAGATCATATTTTTCATCATTCATAACTGACCTCTCAAACCCCCCCACCCCCCACCCCCCGCAAAAAAACAAACAAAGAAAAAGAAATCTCAAACATGTTGGTATTATAAATTCGAAAGTATTGATAAAACAAACGAAATATGTAATAAAATCATAAATTTCAAATTCACAATAGAACAAAATACATATGAAAAAAAAACATATAGTTTGATAAATAAAGAACATTGCGTCAATCAGCAACTACAGATTGCATCTGTGATACTCCCTCAAAGCAGTCAACTCGGCTACACCTTCGCCGTATTGAATGTCAAATTCAGTCGACTCCATCTCATCCTCAAGTATAGAATGTCCAACCAGAAATTCCGAAGGTTTTGGAGGGACTTACATTTGTTCATTGTCAGTCATACTAAAATCCGAATCTGATCAAGAGGGTTGTCGTAGGATGAAGTTATGAAGTGTCATAGTGATCACCACAATATGCACGTATTTTGAAAATAGATATGACGACATATCACGTAGAATAACCCATTTCTTCTTCCAAAAGCCAAATGTTATATCAATCACCCCACGTAAAAAAGTGATGTTTGCTGAACTTTTCTATTCTACCAGGAGCAGTATTACTTGCTCTCTCAAAATTAGGAATATAATATTTGGTATGTGAATAACGCTTCAAGTATTATCTTTGTATTAGATATCTAATATGCACAAAATAATATTTCTCTGTCATGAAAGTTACTGTTAGTGACAAATAATACATATAACTAATATGTTTAAACAAAACAAATATGGATGCGGGTGAGGGGCACACCACATACTATTCCTAGTTGCATAGGCAAAAAAGCGACTATTATGTGCACTCCCTTCACATCCAGGCATCACAATTGTGAAATACATGTTGAAGCCACATATTGCCAATACATTTTGGGTAGTTGATCCACTCCAACCAATGTACGCCACCTTTTTGTGGTTGGGTAGGCGGGAATCAACGTGCGTACCGTCAATTTTCTCAATACAGTTATGCTTAGCATTGCTAGAAACTAATTACATTCCGAACTGAAAGCAACGCAGTAATAAAACTTACCTTGAAATATGTATGCAACATGCATCATTAGCAACATTTTATAGAGTAGTAGCGAACAATGGATCCTCTGGCTTAATAATGTGCAATGTTAAAGCTAACAAGTGCTTGTAGACCTTTTGAGAAGTATCCGCTAATTGTTTCTGAGGAATTTTATAATCGCTTTATAGCTCCTTTAACTGATTCATTCTGAGATAAAATGTATATTGTTATTGTCAAAACCTCCCGAGTCATCTTTCTAAATAAAAAAATAATAATAAACAAAAGTAGAGTATAATTATTACCTCTAATTTCTCAACCTACTATTCCTCTGGAGCATCAATGGTTCGCTTAATGGAATCCCAACCCAACACGGTGGATCCACGTTTCAGGTACTTCCATACCTTCCACTCCTTCTTGAATTGATCCCATTTGTTTTTGAATTTGAGCCTGTCATAATCACTTCTCGTCAATTTTCTGAACCTTTTCGCAATATTTTGACAATCTTCATTGTTAAAATATGTCGTTGGCCTATTTCCGAGCTCAATTTCTTTAATACACAGATTGCAGAAAATGTTTGTTACTTCCTTATCCCACATTGCCGACGGACCTCCTTCATTCATCTTAATCGTATTGGATCTAAATCAAGATATTATAGTTAAATAAATAAACTTAACTTATAACAAGAACATCTTGTTAGACCATAATACAAATATGATGAACTTGTCCAAATTAAATACCATAAATCAAAGAATATTGAAAAAAAATCCCCACACATCCAAAACCGGGATAACACACCCAAACCACCATTAACACCTCACATAGCCATCACACACAAGCAAACCTTTCATCCACCACCAATTCCACACACAAAAAACCAGGAGAGCACACCCAAGCCAACCTATACACCACTCAGTGTCATTAAACATAAGCACTCCTCACATCCACCACAAAACCCACACACCCAAAGCCAGGAGAGCAAACTTTAAACCCTCGTTATTCTCTTGAAGGGAGGAAGAGAAGAAAAAAATGAGTAGACTGCTAAGACTTAACTCTTAAATTCTTGACTAAGTCGATCACCCGAGATCATGGTCGATGGCCAGAGTTTGCCACCAACCATCAAAGATCCCCATTGACCCCCATAGCTAGTCGTCGATCACCAATCATTATTGGCTGCCACCAATAATCGTCGTAGCAAATGATGACTGTTGTAGTCAATAACTATAACTTTTGTACCCAACTACAATCATTATAGCTCAAATATTATGGTTGTAGTAGTTAAACTAATGCTATAAACCTATGGCTAATAGTTTTTTTATTCTCATATTTCTTAATTTAGAAAAAAGATTGGATCTTTTTAATTTCCTAATAAATTACTTTGACTTTTTCATATCCCATGGGTTTTTCTTTTATAGTATTTTACACATAAAATTTTGATTTTATTCACCGAGTCTTTCTTTTTTATCCGTGTATGGGTTGCATCTTCGGGCAACATTAAGACATTAAACTCTCTCTCTATTACGACAAATTTTTCCACACAAAACATGTAGAAATTTGAGAACTTTAATTAGCTCAACTAAATTATAATTAAAGAATAAAATTACAGGATTTTAGAGCTCTAGCATTAAGTAAACTAATAAAAAAATGAATGCTAAATCATTTCATATCCTTGTTAAAAAAAAACTAAAAAAATAGCAATTCATATTTCATTAATACACTAACAACTCCTACATACCACTCAATTCTTATATCCAACACTTCTACATCAACTCCACCTCTTACATGCATGCATGCAAATGCCCCAAATTTAAATATTTATGGCCTCAAGCACCACAATTGCATGCCATTTCATTCAACTAACAGAGCATACAAAGCTAGAAACCAAGCAAAATTCCTCCATGCCAGAGCTCACGCGCCGCCAAGGCTCGTGTTGCTGGCCCAAATCGCTTTGCCATCTTCGCCATATATTACCAGATTCTGGTCTTTCTGCAGGATGAGCTGATACATTCCATTATTCTTTTGCAAACTATTGCTGGCCCAGATAGCTCTGGCTCCAAAATCACTATACGCTACAAGATTTACATATATATATATATATATATATATATGTAAATGCACAATAATATCGATTTACAGTCACAATAAGATAGTCATTTCATCATTTGGAAAAGCTTTGCGACCATTTGATAGTTGGCGGCTTCACTTCTCCTCTTTTCATTAATGGAGCTCTTAATGCTTTCATATATCCTAATCATTTCATATATATTTTATGTATAGAAATCGCACAACACAGCAAAATATACTTTCATAAGCAATATTGAACATCATTGTTGTCATTTTAATCTAATAACCTTTTGATTTCAATATGCTTAGTTCAAGCATTGAACACTATATTATTAGCGAGGACAATTAAAAAAATATTATAGTATAGTGGTGTATGAGAAGTGATTAGTATTCCAAATTTAGTTAAAGAAGGTATGGAGGTGAAGTCGTTCATGTTAAACATAGAGTTCATTTCTAAGATTTGCTTTAATAATTTGTTAAAAGTTTTATATTATTTTGAAATTAAATTAATTCAATTTTAAAGTACACAAAATTATTGTATGTATTTTGTAAACACGACTAAACCAATTTTTAGAATTCACAATCTGCCATCACATATGATAATACATTTA